CTTTCCTCCCTCCCCCCTCTCTCCCTCACTCCCTCCCCTCCATCACTCCCTCCCCTCTCCATCACTCCCCACCACCTCTCCCCATCACTCCCTCTCCCATCACTCCTCTCCCCTTCACCCCTCTCTCCTTCACCCCTCTCCCCCTTCCCTCCATCCCTCCCCCCTCCCTTTAACACTCTATGTAGTAGGATAATTTTGTAGTAGAATAATCTCATGTAGTTCTAGTGAATACACCTGAATTATCCATGTTCAAATTTGAATATCATAAGCAATTCCTAAGTTTAAGTTATCAGCATAGAATAGAATAATAGATTGACTGACTGCATTACACAAGTAATTCAGGAGGTCTTGATAAGTGCAGATTAAGTCATATGACATCTAGCTAAAGTGGAATTGTAGGGGGAACTGAGAAGTATAGATTCATACTGAAATTTCTGTCTATTCCAGTTGGATTCCTGTCAATTCCAGCCGGAATCCACGGAATTCCTGGATTCTGGCCGGAATCCGCAGAATCCAGTAGGAATCAGTGGAGGAATGGAAAGTATTGCAAGACTGCGTCGAGCCCAGTGCGAGGATACCCTGGACAAGATCCACAGCCTCCAGCATGTCTGTCTCTCATTTATTAGTTTCTGCAACCACAACATACGGCATCAGGGTCCAAATACACGGGCTCAAGACATGCTCATCCATTTGGAAGACAAGTCGAACGCCCTCACTGTAAAATATAGGATGGCCCGCATGGCCTTACTCAAACTTGTGGGCCCTGGTGATTGGGAGAATCAACTGCGAGAGTTGAATCACGGAGGCCTGACAATGCCTGATGGGCACGAGGTTAGTATCGAAGATCCGGATCATCCCTTCAGACCAGATGGATGAGAGCTTTCCAAGAAGAAACGAGTGAATATAGAGAAGGGCCTGGGTCAAGGCAAAAAGGGTGTTTCGTGGATATGGACCACAGCCGCACAGTCCATTGTGGGTGGCAGTGACACAGTTTTGCATGAGGGTAAGTGTTTCGCTCTTACCTGTGACCAAAGTGCTGAGGTACAATCTTCGACAGCCATCATGGTTGAATGGGCAAAAGTGCAGGCGAGGCATCTATGATGGTGGGAGGAGGTGCACTTATTGAAGGAGGAGATGAGACGTGTTTGGCAGAGTCTTGAGTGGAAGGTGATGTGGTGGGAGGAGCAGCAGGTGGGGTGGGAGGGGCTGGATGATGCCGAACAGGATGGTGTCCGAGCATACGCGGTCAGGCAGGCCAACATGCAGCATGCTCTTCACGCTAGATTTTGTCGCTTGTGGGACAAGCTGCTGATCCTGTTGATTAGCCAAGATGATAGCGGGGAGGTTCCTTCATATATTGTAGACCCTGTACTCGAGGAGCTGGTAGAGGACGACGATGCGTAGAGAATTGTAGTACTTTTGTTTGAGTCGGGGATCTCAGGTAAGGACATAGCCGGTGTATTTGCATGTGTTGATCAGTGGCAGCAAACTCTTCAACGTCATCCACATTGGACTTGTTCAATCCACCCTCTTGCGACATATTTGACATGGGGGAAAATGTCAGATCCATTAGAAATATATTATGAGATCCCTTTGGAAGGTTTTCCCTGGCGTCTCTCCACATGAAACATAGTCTGGAGGCCAAAACATTGTTGCACATCAGAAAAAACTTTTGTTGTTTGGTTCTATTATAATGGGAGGTCAGAGAACCAGAATATGGTACGGAAAATAACAAAGTACAGTCAAATTCACAAATACTCACACATCTATATGAATATCATAAATAATAACACATATATATGTATATCAGAGCATAACCACCCACCCTACAGCAAGACCTGCATTAATCCACAGCTATACCAAGTGGGGCATTGCACTCCCTATGGAAAAGGGTGAAGTGCATTTTTCCAGTATATCAGGCATAGGACTACAGCCAGGGGTGGTGTGCAGGTGTCGTCGTCGTGCCAAGTCGTCGTCGAAATGATGTGGGCTCATTGATTCAGTTGGTGATGTGGGGTGGCCACATCGTCATCACCGTTAGCATGTGCAGAGATGGTTGGGGTGGTCGAACAGGGAGGGGGTGGTTGTGGTTGCAGCCACGTCGCTGTAACAACATGCCCTGATCTTTGTGTGAATAAAGGTGAGAGGGAGAGCAGTCACATTGCTCACCTCCAGTAATGTAGATAGTGACAATGTGAGTCGTCGTTGTCACTATCTGGACAACATGGGACATCCGTTGACGTGCCATGTTGTCGCTGTCCATCGTCGTCGTTCATCTGTTGGGTGGTGACGTGGCCTTGCCAAGCTGTCATCATTTTCTGCGTAGTTGGCGGCAGTTGAAGGATGATTGCGAGAGGTGGTGGTTGGTGGTGGCAATGGTGACAGATTGGAGGTGGTCGCAGGGATGGTGGTGTGGTGGTGGTTGAGAAGAAAATACATTGTTTGTTGATGAACATTACTATTTGGTTCTCATCAAAAACATATGAGGTTCAATCTATTCTAAGTTTGGCCCTCAAGACTCAAGCACAAAAGACCAGTCTTTGACCAGTTAATTCGGTTTTTGCTAGGTCTTGAATTATTGAAAGTCGTAGAGGACTGTAGACTGAACCGCAGTTATGGTCTTTGTCAGTCCTATTAATTTCTGGTCTTGATCGGTCACGGTCCGGTCTGGTCATGGTCTTTTTCCAGTCCTGTGACCGGACTTCCAAACACTAGTTTCAGCCGTCTTTCTCCGCATTCCCCTTTCCCTTAGCTCAGGCATTCTACAGTAGCTTATAGTCATTCATTCTTGTACCTAGTAGCTGTAATACATATGTTTCAATCCTACAAACCATAATTGAAAGGAATGGACTGTCTAAAATGCAAGAAAATCCCTCAAAAGCTATCAAAATGGATCACAACGTCACAAAAGAATGTATAGCGGCATGATATTGTAAAATCTTGCTTTATATTGTGAGAGATTGTCTAAAAGCACAGCAATGATGAGGCCTCATCAGATGTTGTGAGGAGGGTTGAAATCTTATAGTAAATTGTGATCAATTTCGTACCTTACGATGGATCATTGTATTTCCCATGATTTGCTGATGGTTGGATAAGATGAGATAAATGAGTGTGACTTGGTGACATCCGTCACAGTGACCCGATGTCACATGATGTTGGTTGAAAGACTTGTTGTCTCCTTTTTCTTCCAACGACCATCTTCTCCTTAACAGCCTAGGGATACAACTTCACCAGCATCAACAACCACCTCAAGCATGATCAGGCTCATGCACAGGTGTTGAAGAGTCGTGTGTTCAGGGAAGGCAGTGTTCCTGACAACGAGCTGATCACGAATCAGGGGATCAATCTACTCAGAAACCCCCTTTCTGGCAGAAACCCTAGGATTTCTCATTGTTGGGTAGAACCCCCCCATCATCAACCCAAAGAAGTATTTATAGAAACCCTATGTCGGAGATGAATTAAGCAGTGCTGGACAAGTCGGTCTTTGAATTTTACATGTGACATAATCATCCGAAACGATGTCAAATGAGGAGTAGTGTTTAAAGGTTCAGTTCAGTCCAGTTTTTTGCCCCGAAAACACGCAACCGTGGACCGCAACCGGTCCAGGACAGACCCAGATATTGAGGGAACCGAACCGAACCACCTAGGACCGGTCTTTTGCGGTCCATGATACCGGTTCAGACCGATCCAGACCGGTTTTTTTGCGTATAATTTATTATACCAATATAAACCATCCGTATCTCAACCATTATTACTCTGAAAAATAAACGGGTTATATAAAATAGTAAAGCATATAAATACCCATCATTCTACCAATTTTCAAGAGATTTAATGAAGATTTGACATAGCTATGACTGAAACCGAATTACATCTCATAGAGACTCAGGTAAAATATGGATTTGGTTATATCTTTCTCAATTCTTAACCGTTTTTGATGAAACAAAAACCCAATAAAAGGCAATAAACGTGGTTATAAGGCTATGTAACGCACGTGACCGTTTAACCGGTTGCAACCGATTAAAACCGGTCTTTGAACGGTTTTAAAAGATTTTCGAAATGAGGCAACTGGCAACCGGACCAACCCCAAATTGGGGCAACTGCAACCAAAAAAAAGACCGGTCCATGGTCCGGTTCAGTTCGGTCCACCGGTTTTTTGTGGTCCTATGGACTGAACCTTTAAACACTAATGAGGAGAGAAATGGAAAATAGGGAGATGCAAACCTTGGACCATTCGGGCTCTTAATGGAGAGATCTAGTCACTCAATTGAAACTGGAATTGCGAGGGAATTCAAAAGTTCTTACCATAGTTGAGGCACGGAAATGGGCTGTCTGAATGCCCAAACGGAATGTTGGAGGGCCACTGCCGAGCCTCGAGGGAAGTCGGACCTCAAATATTTTGACCATCAGCCATCAGTGATTGCTTGTGGTACCCCAGGTTTCTGAAGTGGTTGGATAGAAACCTTGGGGTTTCACGTGGAAAGGGGGGTTTCTGGATAGTTTAATCCTGAATCAGGTTGTCACTTACGTTGCATTGGTTGGCATTGGCACTCCGCCTACAAACCGTGCGTAAAGAAAGACCTTGCTACAATATTATGCAGTCTGATAGGTTTCACCTTATCTAGATGACCTTCTCGTTGACAGAGGAAGGTCAGTACTTCATAATTAGAAATGTATCATAGCTGACAACCCAGTAAACAACAGTTCCAACACCTGGATCGGCTCCAGAGGTAAAGGATACGTACAGAGCAACACCAGTAGTGTTTGAAAGTCCGGTCTGGTCTGGTTATTGAGCCCTCAAGGGCTCTAACCGAGACCGAGACCGGTTACCTTGTGCCACGAAACCCAAAATAACCGAACCGGACTGCTACTAACCGATATAATCGGTTAGTAACAGTTAGCAGTCGGTTACATGACAGGTCCTAACTGGTTATTTCTCTGTACTAACATAATTACAAACCTATATTATATTTCTAATACAAGCATTATGCTGCATGCACCAGCGAGGCGCATGTAGGTGAAACACCGCCTCGCATGATGGCCCAATGAAGAGAGAAAGAGAGTACTTGATCTGTGAGCCTTTCTCATCACAACCTACGCATCCAGCATATTTCATAAACAACCTCGCAGGTCGAGTACACCCGACCTGCGAGCGTTTCTCATGGATTGCCATTGTTGTATCAATGTCACATTATCACACATGTGACAACAGGAAAATAGTCACTTAAATTTCAATTCACTGTAAATATGTCAATTCTCCACTAAAAAATATGATTTTTGGATCGTTAGAAAGCGTTTAAACAGGGGAATATTTGTGTGTAACGTTAGGACACAAAGACCAGTTATAACCAGTCCTAACCGGTTTTTGTTTGGTCTTGAATATTTTGGGATGACACCTAACCACTAACTGGACCACAGTTACAGTTAGGATTGGTTAGGTAATTTTTGCGGTCCTGATCGGTTACGGTTCGGTCCAGTCTCGGTTATTTTCCGGTTAACTAACCTAACTTCCAAACACTAAACACCAGCATACAAACCGATGATACTAGTGTTTGAAAGTCCAGTTAGGTCCGGTTATTGGGTGCCCAGGGGCTCTAACCGAGACCGAGAATGGTTAGCCTTTGTCCTGAAACCTAAAATAACCTAACCAGACCGCAACTAACCGGTTACGGTCGGTTATTTGCAGTTACTAACCAGTTAGGACCGAAAAATAAAGAATCAGTTATAACAAGGCAAATATGCTCATATGTATCTCAATAGATATTATTTCTGCATATTCTAGCTTTAAAACGAGCCCAAGAACGCTAAAATCGGTGAAGAATTGACATATTTATGCAATTATCCTTGAAAGTCTACACATTTGAGTGATATTTTAGAGATTTGACCGTAACTTAGTCAAATTTTAAGCGTTTTCGATGTTCTCAAGTGCGTTTTGAAGGTGTATAATAGGGCTGGTTATAACCGGTTATTTAACGGTTAGTTAACCGCAAAATAACCGGTTACTGTACTAATCCAATCAATTCGTCGGTCATGCGTCACAGGCGGTCCGAAATCGACGAAATTCTAAGCGGTCACAGGTCACAGGAGCCAGCGACGAAACCACCAGGTCAGTCAGAAAAGGAACAAAATTGGGGTCTTTTTTCATTAGAAATCGATTTTTTCGCCCTCTAAGTCTCTCTAGCAAAGTTCTCTGAACTATTTTAAATTATCTAAGGACAGAGGGCTACTCCGACATTTTGACGAAAATTTCCGGCAGTCACACCTTCCCCGGTGACGCGACGAAACCAAAATTTCGTCGCGTGGGTCACAGGTCACAGGGTGCGACGAATTGATTGGATTAGTACAGTATTCCATTTTCGAAATCAACTAACCCTAACCGCAGTTAGGTTAGTGTTGCGGTTAGGTCCGGTTATTTTCCGCTGGGTCCCGGTACGGGATTCCCGGGCCGGCACCCCCTTGTATCGCAAGTACCTTTTTTCCTGATGAAGCAAACACAGATTGCCTTGACCGGTGGAGTAAGTAGGTGTACGTCCACCAGATGACGTTCCAAAACTCACCTGCCTTCGGTCCCTCAACGTTTACACTTACTTACCGGCAGGTACCACGTATGTCTCCTGAAAAGCACCGTATTTCGGATGATACAGATGAAGTGGACGTCCGAGTAAATTTGTTGATGTCGTATAGCGTATCTACTACCACTGTAAACTAGGTTACAATTATGACAACTGGCTGCCCATGGCAATCCTGACCCAGCCTCTTTCCGAAAGCAATTCCCTTCAGCGCAGCCCGAAGCTCTCCAATTCCAACCCCAACCCTTTCATCCAGCTGAGGGTCCAGCTCATCAGTCGACACTGGTTGGCTGAGCTCGCACAAAACATTGCGTATCGGGGTCTTGATAATTGGCACGGTGCAGACACGTAAGGGAGGGGGGAGTCAATGCCACCACCATCTCATCCTCGATCTTGTCATTGAAAGAACGTGGTTGAAGATTGAGCAGTGGCTAGGCTCGAGGATGGTGCAAAAACCTTCCCTTTTGTATGCCACATGCCCGTAGAGTCGCGGCTGGAGACCCGATCGGAGCATCAGATGGTGGACGTGTGACCTTGACATGTATATGCATCAGCTGGGGGAAGTTGTGCGGAAAGTCGTTGACGACGTGAATAAGAGAATTGGGTAGAAGCGGGTTGAAAGCATACGGGAGGAGGGAAGAGGAAGGACGCGGAAAGGGAAGAAAGAGGGAGGAGGCGGGGAGGGAAGAAGGGGATA